CTGTGAGCTGTGACGCCATGGCACTCTACTGAGGGTGACGTAGTGAGATTCTGTCTCAAAAATAAAATAAAAACAAAAACAGAAATATACTGGCCTACAGTCTTGTGTCAGCTGTCTGTCCCTTAGCGACAATACAGTGTGATGAGCAGAAAAAACAAGGGCTTCCACTTACTTGTATGTATACCCTTGAGCCAAACTCCTCTGCACCTCAGGGCCCTCACCTGTAAGTGCAGTTGAGAATAGCTACCTCCCAGAGTTGGTATAAACAGGAAATGCATAGCAAGTGCTGGCACACAGTAGGCATTGAAATTACTAGAGAGCTCTGTCGTAGACACTGCAGACTGCCTTTTAAATGTCCCTTCTTCTTCCTTCCTAACAGGCATCCTTCCCTCCTAGACGAGGAATTCAGGCTCAGAGTGCTTAAGTGGCATTTCTAAGGTCACAGAATCTAGTATCAGAGTCATCTGAATCCAGGTCTTTCCACCCCCTCATCGCTCCTTCCAGTATCTGTCCTTTTAGGAGGAATTAGTACATTTATCTACCACAAGCTATCTGGAATGTGTAAGTTCTAACCTGCAGTCTGTTTCTCCTCAAGTGAGTGATTCAAGAGTGCGACAGAGCCACAAAGGTTTTTATGGCCTAGCCTTAGAAGTGCCATACCATCACTTCTGCCATACTCTATTGGACACACAGACCAACCCTGATAAGTGTAGAATGGGGAAGGGGCCAAACCAGAGTGTGAATACCAGCCTTAGCTCACTGGGGGCATTCTTGGGAGCTGGCTACCTCAAGCAGCTTAGCATTAGTATGAAAACAGTTTTAATATTATGAATCTTTTTAAAGAGCTTGGGGACCCTGGACTATACTTTGAGATCAATTCATATAATTTATGCTATTTTGCAGATGATTCTCAGATCCACCTCCTTTTTGCAGATTCATCTGTTTGTCAGATCTGACTTTAGAAATAAGTAATCCATATAGAGCCAGAAACTCTCAATCTGCCCAGTATTTTGTCTCTGACAATACCAGAGTGAAGGTTCTAAAAGTGTAGTCCCTCCAGGACAGACTTCACAAATTGCCAGGTGGCCATTCAGAATGTCTCAACATGAATGTTTGTTATCTACAGATTTATCTTTATAAAATTTCTCACATTTTCAATCTGAACCATTTTGTCAGTTAATTTACTTCACAAATCACCTGTATCATGTGACAACTCCTTTCATGTGTCCCAAAAGGCTGTGGCTAAGTGTTCTTGAGACACACTTGATTTCTATACCCTAAGACTTGGCAAATACATCCAAGTACAACTCATCCAAACACCATCCATAACTTTTGAGACACCAATCTTTGTTCCCTTTCAGAAGAGTCCTGATATTTTTAGCATGTGATATAGTTGTGCTATGTCCCCATGGTCACGTCACGTTGGCTCTATGGATGGATGCCCTTGGCTAGCAGTGCTTCAGCACATAGCTGCATTCAGATGCACCGAAGTTTATATTGGGACAGGACAATCATGTTCCATTCGCCAAAGTTTGTTACAATAACTCTTCAAGTCCAGTGGGCCACTGAGTTATCTGTCCAGCTTCCTTTTCCTTTCTCTTTTTAAAAAAACAAGTGGATCTGGGAATCTCTTCCTCTTCATGTAGCAGACACCCTTCCCATGGCCCTTCCTCTCTCATTCCATGAGAGATTGCTGGGGCTACCAGTCAGACTCCACCCCCACCCCCCCTACCCCATAGCCAAAGTGATTAGTCTAGGTTAGGCCTGCCAGTGTCTGGAACCGTTTTCAGAGAAGGCTAAATAGCAAGTCCCTCTTACCTCTAGAATCTTGTCAGAAAACTGGAAGAATGAGGCATGAGTTGCCTGCAGCCGTTTTCCAGTGGTGTATTCAGCAGGTGAAAATGTAGCCAAACAAAACTGATAGCCAAGAATAAGACAAATCCAGTCCCCGAGAAAGTCTAAGTTTCTGGATTCATGCCTGCCTAGGCTAGTTCCAACAAAAGCAGTAGTGTTGGGTTTCTGCCACTTAATAATTGAAAGGGCCCTCACACAATTGACTCTTTGGGTCATAATTATATTGTGCGGGATCTGCTCCCTGAAGGAACATGTGTTGAGAGAGAATAACACAGGGCTGGGAATGCAGTGAAGATCTAGGGAGAAGACTGAGAAGGGGCTGGCCAGCCACAAGGCAGCCAAACCAAGGAACAGCATTTCACGGAAGCTGAAGATGTAGTTGTTTTAATTGGGTGGTGAGAAACACTCCCCTGGACTGGGTGAAGTACAAATTGGTACCTTGGGAAGGCAATTTGGAAATCTAAGATTTGAAATGTTCCTGCTCTTCGAGCCAAAAATTCTATTCAAAACAGCATTATTTGCTGTGGTAAAAAGCTGGCAATAATCTTAAATATTTGCAACAACAATTTATGGAAACAAGTTCTTTTTTTTTGAGACAGAACCTCACTACCTTGCCCTAGAGTGCCATGGCCTTAAGCCTAGCTCACAGCAACCTGAAACTCCTGCCTCAGACTCCTAAGTAGCTGGGACTACAGGGGCCTGCCACAATGTTTGGTTAATTTTTCTATTTTTAGTAGAGATGGGGTCTCACACTCACTCAGGCTGGTCTTGAGCTTCTGAGTTCAAGTGATTCTTCCTCCTCCACCTCCCACAGTGCTAGGATTACAGGCTTGAGCCACCTCCCCTGGCCACAAATTCAAATTCTAACTCAAAGGCGGGAGGGGAGTAAATAAGTGGTTATGCAAAGCCTTTGTTTAGAGAGGTGCAGTTTAGTCATACAGAGAAGCAAGCTTGGAGGACCATAGGCAGGTTAGCAGTGCTCTCTCTGGGGAGAGGAGTGCAGCCACGGAGAACTTTCACTTTCTATGCTTGCGTAAAACCAACATAATTTGAGAGATTAATTTTTGTTGTTTCTGCTGCTGTAAGAAAACGGCATGATGGGGTGGCGCCTGTGGCTCAAAGGAGTAGGGCGCTGGCCCGGTATGTCTGAGGTGGCAGGTTCAAACCCAGCTCCAGCCAGAAAAAAAAAAAAAAGAAAGAAAACGTTATGATGTTTCTCTTCTTTCATTGTTGGTATTCTGAGTTCTAGGATCTCCACCCTCAGGGGTTCCTTCGTTTACTCACTCACTCACTTATCTGATGGACAATGGATTGAGGGCCATGTTACACTGGCTTCTTGGTGCTCGGCATGTAACAGCAGAACAGAATCACTGCCCCCATGGATCTTAGAGGATGGCCTGTGAAGACAAATCTCAGATGGCAATGAATGTTATAAAGAAACAGAGGAAGAATGTTATGGAGAAAGGACATAGTGCTAGGGCTGGGGACAATAGGTTTCTAGTATATATAAAGTAGAGAAATTCTCAGAAAGACCTAAAGGAATGGGTAGCCATGTGGCTCTTGGGGAAAAGGGCCTTCCAGGCACAGGGCGTAGCAAGTATGAAAACCCTAAAGCCAAGGCCTGCTCGATGAGTTTGAGGCCATCAGGAGGATGGTGCTGGCTGCAGAACAATGAGAAAGTCGCAGATGAAGTGAGAGGTATGGGAGAGGAGAGGGGTGGGATGTCTATGAACTTGAGGCCATTGTACCACTCTGAGTAAGATGAGAAGCCACTAGAAGGTTTTGAACCAACTTTAAAATGATCATTCTGTCAAGGCTAGAGGGGGCAAGGGTGGAAGCAGGGGGACCAGTAAGAAAATTATTACCATGATCTAGGTGAGAGAAAAAGGCCTGGGCTATGATAGTAGAAGTGGCTGGTTCTAAATGTAGTGTGAAGGTAAGCTGATGAATTTGCTGGGTGGGATGAAGGGTATGAGAGAAAGGTCAGTAGCTCACTAGACTCGGGGCCTAGTGTTAAGACTGTCAGATCCCAGATCCCTCTGTCAGGCCTGTCTGAGGCCTAAGTCCACCAAGTTACCCCAGAGGCAGCTCTGGAAACTGGTGTTCTGAGTTGGAGGTGGTGGAAGACAGAACTTAGGGAGAAAGGGGAAAGGTTTGAGGTTTTCTATTAGGGACCAGATCTATGTCCTGTGTGCAGCAGACCCCACCTCAGATTAAGATGAGGATGGGCACAGTCATGGGATGACAGGAGAGTGAATGCCTAGTGCCTTAACACACTTGGGCTTGGCGTGTGTATGTATGTGTGTGTGTGTGTGGGGGGGGGAACAGATTGCTTTTTCATCCACCATGCCAAGAAAAGACTCATAGCCAGACTAATTTGATTTAGATAAACTAAGTGTTATCTCATTTTCTTTTCTTTCTTTCTTTTTTTTTTTTTTCTCTTTCTTTTTTTTTGAGGCAGAGTCTCACTACGTTGCCCTCTGGGCCGTGGCATCACAGCTCAGGGCAACCTCTAACTCTTGGGCCCAAGTGATTCTCTTGCCTCAGCCTCCCAAGTAGCTGCGACTACAGGTGCCTACCACAACACCTGGCTATTTTTGGTTGTAATTGTTGTTTAGCAGGCCCAGGTCAGGCTCAAACCTGCCAGTCTTTTTGCGTGTGGCCGGCACCCTATTCACTGAGCTATCGCACTGAGCCTGTTATCTCATTTTCTACATTCATGTTTTGTGGAACAAATCAAGACTCATTACACATATTTTATAATGTTCCACTTTTGCTTTTAAAGACATATGTGACTGGGCGCTGCCTGTGGCTCAAAGGAGTAAGGTGCCGGCCCCATATGCTGGATGTGGCGGGTTCAAACCCAGCCCCGGCCAAAAAAAAAAGACATATGTAACTTACATTTGTTAGCAAATTAAAGACATTTTAGAAAGAATGGTGAAATAGTCAGTAGTAATTAATGCAGAGGGTCATGGACATAGGTTATTGAGAAAAAGTAAAAGAAGAAGTGGTATCTTTAAGAAGTGGAAGGCAGATGGGAGGTGGCAAGAGTGGAAAGGACCAGAAACTGAAGCAGTGAATATAAGCCTCGTTTGAGAAGCTCCAGGAAGGAAGGAAAGAAACAATGAACAGTCAGAACAACCATATGCCACGCGATTCTGAATAAAGTTTATTAAATAATATGTACAGCAAATGTAGTAATTCAACACATTTATCAAATCAATCCACTGCAATAAAGAAAAATAAATGAATGGAAAAAATCTATGTCAGCATAGTACATGCTCTCGGTGTGTAATTTAAATGGCAATACTTTAAATTAATTGGTTACATGTAACTTTAGTTATTTTTCTTTCAGAATATAATCTTTGTTTATAGTAACCTATTCTAGAAATAGGACTTAATGCTATGGTAGACAAATAGGACTGCCTGGAGGAGAAGAAAAAAAAAAAAAAAAGCCCAAACAGAAAACCTCCCCCTAAACCAGAATGAAATGAACAAAACAAAAAAACCAACTATAATTGAGATTATAGTTACCATCTCTCCACAGAAGAATAATTACTGTAAATTTTAATCCTTTACAATGGCTATTTTTGTGCTAAATATCTTCAGGTGAGTTATTTGGAATTCCTTCACTTAAATAAAAATGCAAAAAACTTCATGACTTTCTTGCTTTACCCCCCTTCCATTCAAATTTTTAAAATTATTCTTCTATACAAGGTAGGTACATGGGCTATACAAAGTCAAATATACATATTTACAGTCCCACTTCTTAAACACATTTTTATTCTTTTACTGATCCCAGAGAGACTGCAAAAGATAAGTAGTTTGGGGCTTGCCTTTACCTGGAAGCATGGCTAGTATATCAAAATGTGTTTCGAGGCATGCCGCCAGTTAGTTGCTTTTGCTATTAATAAACCAGTATAAACATTTCAGCATAAAAATAGGTACTTTATATTACTAAATGTCTGAAGACAAAAGAGCAATTGGAGACCTTTGTTCCTTGTTTTGTCATACATAGGAAGCTGAAGAGATGCAAATTTTAACATATGATTTTATTAATGATGGGCAAATTAGTGAGGCATACCTGGATTTCTGGAGATATACAAATGCGTGAAGCTGGCATCATTATGCAATGTGGCTTTACAAATTGGTTTTATTTTCTAGCTGTATTTAAGGAGGTGTTCAAAATTACCTACTTAATCAAGAAGCACCCCTCAAAAAACTATTACATAAGATAGTGTTATTAATGGTTTGCATCTAAGAAAGACCAGGAACCACATTAGCCAATACATTCCAAAATGGGTGAAATGCCGCCGTGCAAAATGCACATGCGTGTATATTTTTACTGTATCCCCTCAAGGAGAGAAAGTTAAAACACAGTGCTCTTGGATGGTGCAGCAGACCTTATTGTCACTGGGACCTAAGGACAATCAAGAAGACTCTTTCTATCCAGGAAGCTCCCCCAACTCCTCTAGTTCCATAAGCCCTTTTCCCTTGGGATTAAGGCTCTCCTCTGCCCTAGATAAAACAAGTATCTGTGGAGAGACTAAGACATTCCTCTTATCAGTCATTTACACTTTAGTATAAATGAATCAGTGATAGTTTCTTTCCTGAGAACAGGATTTGAAAGGATAGGGAGAAAAAATGAGGGTACTATGGCCATCTGGTAGAGAGTGGGAAGCTGGTGGGATCTTAAGATGGGTATCTGAGCAGCTTCAGCACAGGCACTGAGAAAAATTCTGACTACTTGTAAAGATAGTCTAGACTTTGGGAATAACAGTCCTGGGGTAATTCTGAGCTACATGCAGAAATCCAGGAGTTCCTGGACACACCCCTAACACCCAGAATTGCTACTCCTATTTGTGATCTTGGATGAGTATTTATAAAGATCGGCGTTTGAGGACTCTGGGCAAATTCCCAAGAATTTCCGACCATGAATTACCCTCAGACAAAGGTTCTTCTAGCATTCTAGATTTCCAAAAGTGAGCTAATAGAGACAGAAATATGACAATGCTTTCTAGGATCCTTCCATGGAAAATTCATCTCTTCCTCTCTCACACCCTTCTTAGCACATATCACAGTCTCTCTTGATTAAGTTCCTTTTTCTGTGTCTGTCTCCCCAATATCCTCTGAGTTCCTGGTAGGCAAAGAGTGGGTCATTTCTATCTTTGTCTCAGTAACAGAGGCCTACAAGCATCCTCAAGTTGGACAGAACTGTACCTAAGCACCCTAGGCATCACAAGGGCCTCCCTCCTGAGAGCTACCCACAAAAAGGACAGATTTCATGGTCACTGCCAGTAGCCACAGAACTGCTGCTCCCTTCTGCAGACAAGCCTCACCAGGATGCATTTGGACTCACAGCCATGGGTTCCCACATTTTGTGGTCCTTGAACTCCTATAGGGAGTAAAATTGGAGACTCAGGAGTTCCTACAGAGCCTGGAGCAAGTCCTGCTCATTGGTGTCCCCAGCAGCCAGGGTACAATGTATCTGTTAAATGAATCCCTGAACACCATTCTTGGTTTTCTATGAAAACAGGCCTACCAATTCCAAACTGTCCTCCCAAACACAAGCCGGAAAAGAAAGGTTAGTAATGCTGTTCTGATATATGTAACTGCATTGCCCTGAAGGTGACTGGCTATAAAGGCCAGCAATATGGAAAAAAAAAAATGCACTATAAGTGGCCTCGAAGGCTACAGGCTTCTTGACTTAATTAATTGGAAATACAAATATAACCTATCTGCCTGGCAATCTGCTCCCAATTCTCATGGGCAGATCTTGGATGCTTTTCCATCTGAATACCAGGGCAGTCAAAGGTGATGCTATGTAGCAGGCTGGATGCACTCACTGGGCGCTTATGTTTTACCTCCATTTCTCCACCTGTACCTCTGCAGGTCCAGTGAGGGATTTGGTCTTGGACAATTTGGGAGCCTCCACCTCTGCCTGGGGATAGCCTCTATGCCCCAGACTGATCTCTAGGAGTGCTTGGAGGTCAGCTGGCTCCAGGGCAGACTGGTACTGGAGGCTGGAGGTCTGCCTGGTACCTTGAGGGTTGCTTCAGGTTCAATGACCCCTTTGAGATGGGAACTGGTTAAGGCTGGGGCAGCAGGAGGCATTTCCAGCTAACTCCGCTTCTAGACCGTGCTCCAGGTCAGATTACCTGGGAGGTGGAGGATGGGGGAGACTAAAGCGGCTCCCAGAAGCAGTTAAGTAAATGTGATTTGCCTCAATTCTTTTTGCTCAGCACACCGGTCGACCCTGTCTGATACACAATGTTAGACAGGCTCGGGTTTCAAACGTAACACTTCTCTGTCCCTCTCTTTTGCTTCTTTCTTTATCCACTGCATTAATTTTCCTACTGACTCAACTAAAGAGATAGGCTCGTGAATTATGCTTTCTCCTCCAATAAAAATAATTTCTGAGATTTTCAGTCTTCTTATAGATACAAAGGTTTTACATAGTTGCCTGGAAAAGTACCAAACTGCCTTGTCCTTCTTGAAGTACCTATAAAAAAACAAAAAACACATACACAAAATAAGAAGCCCAGTCTACGTGAGTTCAGAGATACTGCTTAGAGATTTCTGCTTGAATGTCCCCTAATAACAATCCTGTAGCTTATAAAATAGCATAGCGTTTGCAAAGCGTTTTTTCCTATCTTATCTCATTTAGGTTGCAAAACAGTGCTGGATGGTGAGCATGGCAGACATTTCTTCTTTTTTTTTGAGACAGAGCCTCAAGCTGTTCCCCTGGGTAGAGTGCTATGGCTTCACTGCTCACAGCAACCTCCAACTCCTGGGCTCAAGCGAGTCTCCTGCCTCCGCCTCCCAAGTAGCTGGGACCACAGGCGCCCGCCACAATGCCCGGCTATTTTTTTGGTTGCAGCCATTATTGTTGTTTGGCGGGTCGGGGCTGGCTTCGAACCCGCCACCTTAGGTGTATGTGGCTGGCGCCTTAGCCGCTTGAGCCACACACGCCGAGCCAACATTTCTAATATTCTTGTTTTGTAGATGAAGAAACCCAGGCCCACCTATGCTGTAACTGTAAAACACGTATCAGATATTGAAGACTCAGCACAAAAGGATTATAAAATATCTTGCTAATTGCATTTATATGGATTACATATTCAAATGATAATATTTTGAATGCTTAGGGTTTATAAAACATATTAGAATGAATTTCACTGGTTTCTTTTTACTTTTTTCAACATAGCTTTCAGAAAATTTAAAATTTCACACATGGCTTATACAGCGTTTCTATAGGACTACACGGCACTAGAATGGTTGCTGACTTTTCAGATCTGAGTTTCTTCAGAATACAAGGTAGGGAGGGTCAAGAACTTCTGGGGGCCTTGAGATAATTGGGCAGCTTTCTAGGAGACTTGGACAGCTTTCTAAGAGGCTGGTGAGGTCAAGGCAAATTTTTCTAGCTTTCCATCCATGCTGAGGCCTTGCTGTTCTTACTACCCCAACCCTAACTTGACTTTGCTTTAGCAAAACATTTCCAGGGAGACCAGGGAAGAGCTGGTCTTTGGAAAGAAGATAAAGCCATTTGCTCGGGGAAAACTGAGGTAAAGAATGAGTCCGTGGCTCCCGAGATTACACTCATGCCTGAGCAAGAACATAGGCTTGGGGAGAGATGGGCACCCTGGGTTCAAATCCTCGTCCCACCATTTGCTACCTGGATGACCTTGGAATAGTTACTTAACCTCTCTGGTCCTGTTTCTGAATCTGTTAAATGATGATAAATTCTTATCTTACACGGCTGTTTATTGAGAGAACAATAATAAAAGCACATCAAGCGCAGAACCTGGTTTGTAACAAAAAATAAATGTTGATCTTTCTTTTCCCTTCCTATGAAGGCAAAGCCTTTGTTTTAATTAAGCAAGTTATGCTAAGTAAAGTTACTGGGAGACTAGAGAAAATAAGAAGTTCTTTGGAATGTCTATACATATGCTTGAGTTTCATGGCAGAGACCTAGGTTTAAAATTTTCTTGTGCTGTCCCATAAGAGTTTAAAAAAAAAAATTCCAAATGTATAATAGACATATGCACAACAGAAATAAATTAAAACCCAATTAATGAATTTGACAACTGCCCTTCCATGCAGCAGTTGTTGGCATATAGTATTGGTGTTTTAGGTCCAACATGAGTAACATCTACACTGTCTTAGGAGCACACACAGAGGGTGGCCCAGTGTTCCTCCCAGTGACATATAAAGCTGAGAAGTTCTTCTGTCTGTGCAGAGAAGATTGCTTTGCACATGGCCCATCACCTCTAGTCATTCCTTCAATGCACAACTAGTAAGAAAAGCAGAACAAGATTCTTACCAACAAACCATCCATCATCACATTTTTCCATGACATCAACGATATCTCCATCTCGGAGTTCCAATTCATCATCATTCTGTGGTATATAGCTATATAATGCTTGGTAGCTAAATCTATGCATAAGAAAAATGAATAATAAGTGACTCAAAGGCTATCAGGATTAACTGAAGACTTTAAAACCCCCATTTCAGTTAAATCAACATTTAAGTAGTGTTTCCCACTCATCAGTGGGAATAAAAATATTTTATTGGCTATTTCTCTAATAATTTAGCATTTGAAGAGATGCATTCAACATATCATAAGTTAATTAAGACTGACAGGGATAGAGAACTCCTGAGAAGCAAATCATCACCAGTCTTCTTATCTCTTTTACTTGGTTATCATAGCTAAGAGTTTCTGTCTAGAGTAATAATCAGAAGTTTCTTAGGCCAAGAGACATTACATTACAGTCATAAACATTAGAGAATATAGGCAATTTTAAATAAATAAACATACACATACATAAATAAAATACACAATATATACAAATATGTGAATATAAAAGGGCTGTCCAGAAAGTATCCAGCCTTGTGTGTCTCTATTTTTCATATTACATGGTTGGATTCTTTCCGGACAGGTCTTCTTATGTGTTCAATACACACACGCACCTACCCCCCTACACACAAAGAGAGGGAGAGAACATCCAATTGCCTCATTATTCAGCAAAACAACCTTGAGTTTTTCTACATGCCTCTTAAGCATATTTCAGTAACTGCTCTTAAAAAAAAAAAAAGAGTTGGGGTCTTGCCCTGTCACCCAGGCTGGAGTTCAATGTTGGGATAACAGCTCACTGTAACCTTGAACTCCTGGGCTCAAATGAGTCTCTAGCCTTGGCCTCCCAAAGTGCTGGGACTGAAGGCATGATGGACTACTGTACCTGGCCTTGTTGACTACTTTGAAATTTGGATATCATTTTTCTGGAACTCTTGAAATCTTTCTGCTTTTTTTCTATTCCGGTGAGGTTTGGGAGTACAATGATACAAATTTTATTTACGTGCTAGTTGACCTAAGAGGCACTAGGTTTGTGCTGTTGTAACAACAGACACTAGAGACAGCTGAACTACTGTGGTGAAATGTGATGCCTGCTTTAGTATCAAGGAAAAGCTTTGTTTTCATTAATATTGATTTCTTTAACAAATACTTAAGGAGCATCTACTATGCACCGACTTCACAATTCTGTTTACTTGCTATTTTGAAACACAGCCATAGTGTTCAAAACTTTGCAAATGAGCCAGTTATCTACCATTTCTAGTAGATACAAATGAATTCCAATGTGCGGGTAAAGAAACTAGAAACAAGTAGGCAGAGTCTGTTCTCAGAAACAAGAGGGCCTTTTGATTCACTAAAACCAAAGGGAGAATTTCACTTTACATATTTATCCAACTATACTGATACTTCTGGCTACCAAAAGAAAGGTCTCTTATGAGCAGTTAAGACATGAAGATTAATTTCCAGTTGGTAATGAATACATTTTTTTCATGTTTCTGTGTCTGCCTGTATCTCTTTTCCAATTTGGATTCCTATGGCCCGCCTTCCAACATATAAGAGTACTTACAAGTCTTGTGAGGTTTGACTCCTGTCTGGGGTGACTCTTCGCTGCTGGGCTTGAGGTTGCTGAGAAATGATTAAAGATGATTTATTGTCAGAAGGGGATACCTTGTGATGAAAGTCAAGGGGATGAGAAACAGTGCTGCAGTAATGAACAGATTTTTCGGCAATGTTTATGATCTCATTGCAAACTGCTTCCTGTGAGGTGGCCCCGAGATATCCAGAAACCCCCATAAAACAGTCAACATGGGGACAAAAAAAAGAAAGGAAGGAAGAGATGTAACATTCCAGACGAAGCACATAAGTCCAGGGAAAAAACAGAGTTGAAGATCCAGGTTAAAAAAAATAGATATTCCAGTAGTGAAGTGCAGGAGGGATCCAGGCGTAAGCATGGAAAAACAGGTAAGATACAGAAGAATTTGGGATTTAGTATGAATATTAAAAAAAAAAAAGGGCAGCAGCATAAAAGCCTGTAATTAGTGAGTAACTGTTATAAATAGGGTAATATCAGGGTGGAAATGCCAAGTATGTATCCCCCATCATGCACTAATACATTCCTTTAATCCCACACGTAGGCAGAGTAGAAATACTGTCTCTACATTCCTCTGCTTTTTCTGAGGGGCAGGGGCTGGCCTACCATCTCTCTCTACTACAGTAGCCATGAAACTTTCATACATAATGGCTCTGTGAGTTAAGTTAACCAGACATTACTCTAGTCTGGACTCCAGAAGTCAGTAAGGATTCTCTTTAGAGAAGCTGCAGTCTTATTCAACAGGCATCTTACCACATAGCTCTTTTCAGATTCTGTGAGATCAGGTCCTGCTCTCAATGAATGATGAGAAGGCTGTGATCACCAAGCAAATTATAAGGGAGACATTTTAGCAGATGTCACATTGGAAAGGATTCAAAATAAAAGCGTGAGCAAATACACGTACCACACCGTCACACTCAGATGACACTGGATACTCGCAGCACACGGCCGCTGAGTTTCCACAACAACATGGTGGGTGCACAGGAGAAAATGCAAATGACATACAGAGTTAGAAGCAAGCATCCAGGCAATGAAATGGAAAACTGGAAACATGGCTACAGTGAAGAGAAGATAAACACCACAGGGGCCCCACAATGGCAGGAGAGAGACATGGAAGGGCTGTTGTAGGAACAGTCATGTGCCTACAAAAGCCACACACCCCACACCCCTAGCAGGCACCGAGGGAAGGCTGCTGTACCAAAAGCCAGTTTCAGTTATTTTGTTGACTGGAAACCCTCTCTGGAAGAGCAGACTCAGAGGACTACCAGACCTGCCATACTTCAGGACTTATAAAAACTAAAAAAGAGAGTAACGCTTTTGAAAAACTCCCTGGTAATATCTGAAGTATCAACCAAGACCATTTCCCTAGAAAAGTCTGCATATGACACACTTCAGTGGGGTATGAGGTGGGTTTAGAGAGCTTGAAGGGCAGAGCTCGCTTCTAGCAGCAGGACTGTGTGTCCCGACACACATGTGGAAATGACATCATCACTCTCCACTCACAGCCCAGATCCCACACGCTGACACAGAGGCACAGGTGGAATCATGGCTAAGCACACCCACCTCTTAACTGGGCCTTCACCAGGAGAGTGTTGGGAATCATTTTCCCCAGAGAGGACTCAATTCCAAGCTGTAGGAAGTCTCTCTGAACAAATATTTGAAGAGCCATCCTCAAAGAGACCCTCCAGGCAATGTGCAATAACAGTAATAGGCCATAGCAAGGGCACGTGGAAATCTTCTATATAGGAACCATTTGTTTCACAGAAAGGCTCAGAGGGTGTGAGGGCCTCCTCCAAGATCACACAGTGAGTCAGTGGTAGCAGACTTATCCCCCTGGCTTCATCTACTGTCCCACCCATATTGTCTTTCATCCACAGACCACCTTCCACCTTATCAAATATGCTCACTCACCTCATCGTCAGTGAGCCTCACAAAAATATGGGCAGAGAAGCAGGGCAGGGTTTATCACCTTGTTTTCCTTAAAAAACCAGGAAGTTGATGCTCTGATGATCATGGGGTTTTAGGGCAGCTAGTGAGATATAAAGCTGCTCAGATAATCTTCCCCTCCAGCAGACTGCCCCTCCTGGCCATCTCTACTGTAAATATCCTCATCCTTTAGCATGTCCTGCATGGCCAATACCCATCCCAGCCATCACTTCCATACTTTGGTCCTTTGGGAAATCCTCTTCAAGTTTTCAAACCCCTTCCAAACTGCAATCACTTATGCCAGGGTCACCCTGGACTCTGGCAGCAGTGAAGGAAGAGACAGGACTGAAGGGCCCATTACATGCTCCTTCCACCATGTCCCAAGACCTCAGGACCTTGCCAGGTGGCTGAGAGCTGACCTTGTATGGCTCCTTTCATCACTAGCCTCTGGATCAAGGCTCCTAGGTAAAAAACCAAAGAATGTTTCCAAGAACTCGCTATGTGGGCTTTCAGAAGACTGAGTCATCCTGGGCATCTTAAGTGCATGACAGGCAGGTTTAACCTGACAGAAGGGAAAACTTTCTAAAAGTGAGAAGGGTCCAACAACCCAAGGGGCTGCCTCAAGAGGAAGTGAGCTGTCTGCCACAGCAGCTGATTAAGCTGAGGCTGCTGTTGACTATTATTAGTTGTGAGATGGTGGCAGTGCTACTTACACTTTAATGTACACAGGTATCCCCTGAAATCCTGTTAAAATGCAGATTCCGACGTAATACATCTGGGGTAAGTACGGAGACTGTGTTTCTATTTGGTAGCACCAATGCTGCCGGTTCATAGACCAACTGTGCACAGCACAGCTATAAAAGCCCTTATTTATCACCACACTGAGATTCCTTGCCTGAAGTATGCCAAGACTGGGCTAGGTCACACCTCATGAAAACAAAGTTCTCACACACAAAAAAAATATTTCCAAACTCCAGCTGGTGACCCCATGATCTCGGGTCAAATTCAGTACAAAGAGAGGATGTGAACGATCTCTTGGCATGATCTCTACAGCTTACAGAACCCCCCCCAGCATCCTTTAGTCAACTTAATCCCAAAGGATTGACTGGAATTGATCATCTAACAAATAATAGTGACAGTCTGGGCAATACAATGAGACTCCATGTCTACAAAATTAAAAAATTAACCAAGTGTAGTAGCATGCACCTATAGTGCCAGCTACTCAGGAGGCTGAAGCAGGAGGATCACTTGAGTCCAGGAGTTTGAGGCTACAGTGAGCTATGATGACATCACCACTCTAGCCTGGGTGACAGAGCAAGGCTCTGTCTCATAAAAAAAAGAAAAAAATCAGTGAATCCAATACATGCAGAAGAACCTGGTATTTTACCAGCACACAGAGGTCCATTTCCTCATCTGACTTTTGCACTAACCCTTGACTTGACTTGAGGAGGTCAGAATTAGGAACATTCGGGCTCAGAGAAGACTAAAGACTCTCACAAGATGGCAAAGCCATGTAGCGTCACTGCCGAGCCCTCTGGAGTCTTATTTCCATATACCACCTCTCTCTGGGGTCATGGTGGGATTGCTGTTGCAACCATGATAGCAACACCCAAATTCCGCCTCTTCTGAAAGCAGGCACTCTAATTTCTTGAGTGCTTTTTACACTAGGTATTCAAAGACATTTTTTACTTAAAGGCATGGTGTGCAGTAATAGCATTTAACCATTAACCCAAGGAGCCATAGTGCTGGAAGGGGTTCCAATGGACCAGCGAGTATCTTTCTTGCTTTGAGGCCAGACCCAAAGCAGAGGATAATCATTAGCATAGCCTTAACATCTGGACAGTACAAACTTAACCCTATTCCTGAGAGGCAGGAAAGACTGGGTTCCCCACTTAGCGTTTGTTGAATAAATGAAAGACGCAGCAAGATAAACATTTATCCTATTAGCTAAGATTCAATTTTTTCCTCCTATTTAAATTTAAATAAAATAACCTCATATAGCTGAAATGTAAACCTATTATGGGGGGAGGGAGGTAGATAGAGCATGAAGTGGGCTCTCAGTGGAGATAGAAACCATTAATACCCACCACAAGGGATCAGCCCTTCACTTCCAAGGCTGTGTGCCTTCAAATTATTTTTCCCCTCTAGGCACATGTTTTTTCTTTTCCTGGCCCCATTTTCTAACTACTTTGCAGCTTTATATAGTGCTTCCTCTAAACCTCTGCTGTCTAACATGGTAGCTAGTAGCCAAGTGTAGCTATGGAGCACTTGAGATGTGGCCAGTAGGAAGTGAAATGTGCAATAAGGGTAAAAATATCTACTGGACTTTGAAAACTTAGCATAAAATAAAAAAATGTAAAATCTTAGGAATAATTATTTGGATATATTGGGTTAAATAAAATAATTAACATTAATTTCACCTGTTCCATTTTGTTGTGGCTATTAGAAAATTTTAAATGCCATTGTACCCCACATGATGTTTTTACACACAATGCCACTCTCAACCCTCCCCCAGTCCTCAGTGTCTGGCCTTATGTAAGCAGAAGAGTGGACACAATTCTAACCAGGACTTCATCCAGGGTTACGAATAAAGGGAGCATTATCTCATGCTAAGTACATTTCAGACTCTGGAGATGCATTCCAGTTTTTCATGTGTTTACAAAAACAAGCAGTCCAACACTTGTACACACTATACTCCCTTCCCCCATCAACAGCAAGCAGATGATAGTGGCTGGTCTAGAAACTACTTTCTTCCGCTATTTGTACACAAGTTGCCTTTCCTGGCCTGTAGTGTTTGTTTCCCTCTCCCCAAGTGGGAGACCATGCATGCACCCTTGCTTGGGGTGCCCTATTGCCCTTCTACCCTCAGATCACAGAAGTCCCTGAGAAATCTGATCTTAGCCTCTTGGAGCTATTAACCCCTCTGGATCCACTGAATATGGTGCTACTGTGGAGTTCTTAAGCATCCTCTTCCAGCATTGGGTGGGTGCCAAAGCCTTGAAACCCAAAATAAATTACTCACAGGCTTAAGAACAACAGGAAGTCCAAGAGATGTGGACAGGATGGAGAAACTCAACCACTCCATGGCCCCAAATCCCTTCTAGAAACA